TGTCCATCCCAGCCCTCTCTTCCTTAGCTGATGTCCATACCAGCACCATTGATTTTGCTGAAGCTCATTCCAGCACCCTGAAGGTTTGGTATTTTGTGGCTGATGTCCATCCCAGCCCTCTCTTACTTAGCTGATGTCCATATCAGCACCATTGATTTCGCTGAAGCTCATTCCAACACACTGCAGATTTTGGTTTCTCATTCGGGATTTTTTATTTGGTTATTATGTTTTCTTTATTTTTCTTGTTCAAGATGGAAGTTCTCTTTGTTCACTCTCCATCTTGAGGGGGAGTATTAGATATTAGGTATAAGGGTAATTTAGTATTTCAGTGATATTTTTGATCTTTCTTTTTTCTCTTATGCTCTTCTATACAAGAGCTCACATATTGTACAAATTAATTACCACAAATCAATGAAATCAATTACCACAATCAATGAAATCAATATTTTCTCTTTACTCTCTTTTACCTTCTAATAATAACCCTCTTTACAAAAGGGTAGGATGCCTGATTCAAGATTTTTTGAAAAATAAGGTTATTTTCGTAATAGCACATTTTTCCCCATCTATATTTTACCAAAAACTAGGGCCGGCAAAATGGGCTGCGCCGGGCTGGCCCGCCCCGCCTGCCAAATGGGGCGGGCTGGGTTGAGTTTTTCAACCCACCGCCCCCCCAAACCCGCCAGCCCATATGGGTCAGCCCGCCAAGTCCTTTTTTTTTTTTTTTTTTTAGGTTACCCAATTGTTATGTAGCTCCGTATCTTAGATTTCTCTGCATGCAAGTGGCTTTTTTGAATTGTTGTGGACTGCTCTTACAACACTTTGTTACTTGTTTTGTTACTCTATTTTATCCTGATATGATTTTATTTTTTTATTATTATTTTTGGAATGAAAGATGCATATTTATATGCAGATTATTAAACACTGATCTTCTTGGTTTCATAAGCACATTAGGATTTTATGCAGATTTTTGTATGCTTTTATGCAGATTTTTTTATGTGATTTTATGCAGAATTTAAGTTTTTGTATTTTATTTTTATATTTTTTTTATTTTAGGCGGGCTGGCCCGTAGCCCGCCAGCCCACTCATAAAACGGGCCGGGTTACTCCTTTCAACCCATTTTGTCAAAACGGGCCGGGGCGGGCCAGCCCATTTTGGGCGGGCTAGTGACGGGCCGGGGCGGGCTGGCCCATATTGCCAGCCCTACCAAAAACCAAACATAGACTTTACAAAAGTTATCTACTTTCTCCGGTAAATTTTTTTCCAACCAAACAACTTTTTTTACATTTCCTACCAAACTCACTTCCCAACCATTTCCCTACTAATCATATTTCCCTATGATTCATAAAAATTTCTTCTCTACCAAACGCCTCCTAACCCAAAAAAAAAAGAACAAGTAGAAGCACGATTCGACCCAATTTCAAAGGGAAGCAATTATTTTTTTTCAAGCATGAGACAGTACTAAACAAGGACTTGCATACAGTAAAACCCAGGAGCAGTGTGGTCTTTCTCGAATGTCTTCAGAAGGCCAGCGAATAGAGTTACTTTAGAGGGTTAATTTGGTCACAATTTTTACAATTAATTTTCTAGCTTCATGGGAAATTGAAAATACCACCATTTGGGTGATACTTTTGGATGGAATTTTGGTTAATAGGTTTTATACATAAAATGAAATCTTCGGAAAATAATTTTTCTGGGAAATTATTTTGAAATGTGCTATTAAACATGGTCTTCTTGAAATTTCATCTTCACTTTTTCTGGCTATCCCAAAATAGTTTTCCTACCAAACACCTCCAAGGGCTTGTCTACTCTCAATGTAGTAAGAGAGAGCATATCTTATATTAAGACACAAAGTGGTGGAGCCTACCACTAAAAAAAAGAAGAGAAAATTGTAGCACAATTATTGAGAGGTATATAGCATAAGATACAAATCTCCTACAACATAAGACTTGTATTTCGCTTTAACTAATTATATAAACTTATAAATTACACCTATACATGGAAAACATATAATATACTATTGTCGTATGTATAACCCACCAATAGAAGCATATCACATCAGTTGACATATTTCATGAATAAACAAAAAAAAATTATTATAATTATGTATTTTTCGAAATATATAGTTTGTAATTTAATTTTAAACTATCGTCGTACCTAGTGTTCAGTACAACGATAATACAGAAGATGTTGTCCTATACATGGCCACTAATCACTATGATGCACTGACATTTTAAAAATTATGACGTGTTATATCCGACACTTCCAACACTTATGTACTCGTTGCAGATACTCAAAAAAGAATTCAAAGGATGCGTTGCGTCGTCTATTAGATTTATGAAATTACGATGATCATTTTATTAAGTTTAATATAAATATTTGAGATATTTTATATTTTTTATAAAATTAATAGATATTATAAATTTTATTTTATTTTTTTTGTTAAATTATTAAATAAAATATAATATACACTACTTAAATTAAAATATTATTTAATATCAAAATATATTTTAATATATTAAAATTTAATACTTTTTAAAATTTACATGTTAAGATATTATGTCATATGTGTCGCGTATGAATATTGGTGCAAGATATATCTAAAGGGTCCCATCAGATCAGGCCCCCACCCCCACTAGTTTGTAGCTTTTAGGTCCCATTCCCCATGACACCCCATCGTGCTATTGCCCTACTGTGCAGTGCACCCTTATTCACTCAGTCATCAATGCCTGCTATCATAAGACATCATTAATCACTATCCCCCACTACATAGTTACAAATTACGGAAATTCTTAAGGTAATACGGTGATATTATGTATTCAGTACGGAACACCAATCAAAAATTAAAAAATAGAGAGAAGATGAAAGTGGGATAAAATAAAAATAAAAGTATATATATATATACAAGTGACAGATTTTGAAAAGAAGTGGTATGTATCACCGTTGCACCAAAAGTTTGCTCACAAATTACAATAATAACCCACTTACCATTCACAAATCTTGACAGCTGTGTATGTGGTTATGTGTAAGCATTTTTTTATGTATTCTATGACAAAACTTTCTTATTACGATTTAAATTAATAACTTTTACTCTTTCTATTTAATTTGTTTGAGTTTGAGGATACAATTAAGTGGTACATTTATTTTAAGTTAAAAGGAAAATGTTTTATAAATGAGCCGTTTGCATTGGCTTATATCCTTTTTACAGTTTTTTTATTTTAAAAGTATTTTTTATAAAAGTTATAATTATTTAGATTTTTAAAAAAATATTTGATTTTTGAAAAAAATATTTGACTTTTGACTTCTGTTTTTTTTAGAAGCTGAGATTTTTAACTTCCGAATAAAGTAATTTTTTGACTCTTTTTATGACTTATGCTTTTTTTAAAAGCATGCATCCAAACAGACTTTTTCGAGAAGTGTTTTTTTTTTTTAAAAAAAGTAACTTTTGAAGAAAGAAAAAACTCATCCAAACGGACTCTTGGGAGCTCGATTTATATAACAAATTCATACGCATGAAACTTTTTGAGGAGAAAAGGTTTAAATGGGAATTTTCGTTTACTTTTTATAAGATTTCGCCTTCCGCCCATAACATTCACGTGAATTGTATTTGAATTAACAGGTTTCTTCTTATTGAATAAGTATCCTACTTCAACCAAGATTGAAATAATCATATCATATATATATGGAATAGGTCTCAATCAGAGCCACTCTAAGCATACATGTTTCACGCGTGTGTGTATATATATATATATATATATATAAATATATATATATAAGGGAGGGATCTTTTAACTCCAGAGTAAGACTTAAAGTCTTACTCATCATCTCCACCTTACATTTATTTTAAATCTAAAGGTCACAATTTATTTGATTTAATAGTCACGTGAGTTCATCTACTTTCTTTCTCTCTCTATCCTTTTTTTTTTATCTTCTTCTCTCATCCATATCCCTTTATCTGCTGCTGTCGTACCATTGGGGACACATTTCATCTTCTTCTCAAAGTTACCATTTCATCTCCTTCCCTAGCCATTTTGGTTCCTTCGCTGTGTGCAGTTTCGTATTCTCCTTTGGTTCAATAGGGGAGGTGAGTTCTTCCACTTTTTTTTCCCTCTCCATCCTTAACATTACTTTTTTTTTTTATCTCCTTCTCTCATCCATATACCTTTCTCTGCTGCCATCATACCATTAGGCAGTCAAAGTTACAGTTTCATCTCCTTAATCAATGTTAACTTTTTTGTGTGCTCAGAGCTCCGGTACTTGAGAAGGCACCAATTTTTACTCTAGTTTGGTTCTTGAGGTTCCATTCAATATAAGGGAGGGTTTTTTGAGACCAGAGTGGTTGAGAGAGCTGTGGTTGCTCTCTGCAATAATTACGACAGTCTGGAGTGTACTTATTTTTCTTCGTCTTCAGGTGCATTTGCTAGAACTACTCATTTTTTTATATATATAATAGCAACATGTTTTTCTTATTATAAATTGAATGAGGGAGATATTATAATAGCTACATGTTTTTTTACGACAATATATGGTTGCTCTTTGTTTATTTTTTTTCTATTTTTTTGTACTGGTAAAACATTGTTATTTCTTGATTTTAGTATGTTTGAATATTTGTTCTATTCAACTGGTTGTCTACTTTTTTAGACCAAGTATTTTGTCTTTTGTGTAACCCTTGATGTAACTGGTGGTATATTGGGGTTGAGTCTTAATGATAAATGAAATTCATTAAATAGAGGAAGTTGTTTGGGTATTCCTTAAGAATTTTTTTGAAATCAATGAATTAGTGAAATATTTGTTCTTAGGAATGCTTATATGAACAAATTCGCTACTGAAAAATTAGTTTACTTTCGTTTCCTCCACAAATGAGTGTTGTTCTTATTATAAATTGAATGATTCTGTTTTTTTTTTTCCTTCTATTTTTTGTAATGGTAAAGCATTGTTTTTTCTTGATTTTAGTAAGTTTGAATATTTGTTTTATTCAAATTATGGTTTCAGTTTAGCAAGTCATGGATATGGACTTTGTCAATTATTCTCCCATAAATACGGACACTAATATTAGTTCGAACAACGGAGTGAGAACAGATTTCAACTTTCAAGACGTGCCACATTGTTCTAATGTTGAAGAAGTAATTGTTGAGCCTCATGTTGGAATGGAATTTGACTCATTGGAAAAAGTTGAAGAATTATATAAAATATTTGCTAAGGCAAAAGGGTTTGGAATTCGTACCCGCGATAGTAAAAAGAATTATTGTAGATTTGTATGTGTTAGGGAAGGTGAAAACAAACCAAAAAGTGGTAACATGGGAGAAGTTAAGAGAACGTCTTCAACCCAACGCTTGGGATGTCAATCATCACTTTGTGTGTCAAAGGATAAGAAACGAGACATATGGGTTGTAAAATCTTTTGACAATAATCACAATCATATCATGGCTAGTCCTAAGAGTGTGTCTTATTTGAGGTGTCATAGGAAAATGAATGGTGCTGCAAAAAATCTTGTTGAAAAGTTTAATGCAGAAGGTTTACCTACTGCTAAGGTTGCTGCAATCTTTAACGGTAGTGATTTATCTTTTTCTAACCGGGACTGTTGGAATCATTTGAGGAATGTTCGAAGGAAGAATTTGGATGTTGGAGATGCACAAGCTGTTTTGAACTATTGTAAACAAAAACAAGCTCAGAATTCTAATTTTTTTTATGCAATACAATGTGATGATGATGATAGAATGATAAACTTTTGTTGGTTGGATGCTAGGTCAAGGGCTGCTTATCAATATTTTGGAGATGTTATTACTTTTGATACAACATATAGAACCAATAAATATAGTATGCCATTTGCCCCATTTACGGGATTGAACCATCATTTGCAGTCAATTTTATTTGGTTGTGCATTATTACAAGATGAATTTGAGAAATCTTTTGTATGGTTATTTGAAACTTGGCTTGAGGCAATGAATGGAAAGAAGCCTGTTTATATATATATGATCCGTTTATAAATCTTTTTTGCAAATTACACTAAGTACGACCGGTCGTACACTGCATAATTAAAGTATGACCGGTCGTACTTAGTGTAGTTTGTAAGAGTTTATAAACAAAAAAGTTTGTAAATATAACCTGTCCCTGTATATATATATCCTCACGCAAATATGACTCTACAATTGTGTGTTTGAGATGGAAACGTGAGCGTAACCAAAGATGTTTCATAGATGGAATATAAAATCTCAATTCGGTTGACATGGACCTACAGAGAGAGACACTTCAATTAATTGGAGTACATATTCTTTTCTTATTTCAAGTATTCATGCTCAATATATATTCTTTCTACTCAAGAAAAGGAGCAACTTAAAAGAGAATATGATTCTTCCTAAGATTCTCCATTAGGTTGGTACATTACAGCAAACACATTCCTTAGTCCATTTAGCCAACACACAAAGTGAAGATACCCTGAGAATACTCTCAAACATTCGTAAATGGAAATCAAACCAGAAGAACAGCATTCTAATGTGTAACAAGCTCAGCTCAATGTGTTTAATTCAGATTGGATTCTAAAAGCTTCTTTTGCCTTGAAGCTTCTGAAATTTTCCATAACTCCTTTTAAAGTTCCCCAAAATTCCACAAACCAAGGAAAACTGATCATGATTTAAAATAGAGTAGCCTTGAAGCGACATGAATCTTCATCATATTCAAGCATCAAATTATCAGAACCAAAACATAATGTGTGAAATTGGATCAAAGGCCTTAAAGTTCCTAAACATACCAATATCAATAATTAAGCTAATAGTTGTATAGTCTTATAGCAGTCACACTTAAACATAATAGCCCGTGAATGTAAATCCTCTGCCCACAATCACACCCCCATAAAACCACGCAAAACACTCAAGTCCAAACAAAGCAGCAATGCCGGCATTCTCTATGTATAGATCCTGCCTATTCTTCATTAGGTCCTTTACATGGTCCAATTCCTTCCAGAATGAATTGTAACGATGGGGTATACTGCACAAAATAAGCACCAAGTTCAATACTTGATAAAACGGAAGTTATATATATTCAATTCCCCACATTCCCATTTGCCTTTTCCCCTTAGGTCCAATAGGACCTCCCAAGAACCAAAAGAAAAATAAAATACATAGCATGGTTGTGTAGTTTTTTACATCTGACTATACTTGTGTATATGGGTCAAATGCTGGATAAAACAGTAAAAATACTCTCAAATTTAGGACAATCATGGACGCTTAACAGAACACCACAAAGCCATTACACTCACGAAATGGAGCTTAACTTTAGAGAACATGAAAGTAATTTCGTAAGCTTAATATTTAATAAGGGGAAATGAAATTATCAAATTGAAGGTTACTTTTTAATATTTTTGAAAAGTGGGAATTGAATCCAGAAAAAGATTCCAACATAATAAGCAAATGGGAAATCATTTTCTCATGTTGTTGGAGATTGTTTTCTCATGTTGTGAAGGATCGAAATTCGTACAATTTTTTTATTTTTTTTTATTTTTTAATAAGTGGTGGGATCTACTACTTGTTGTGTTTATAACATGATAGATATTATCTCACGTGAAATGAGATAACAGAAAACCCTAAGCAAATAAGATATAAATTTAGGTGACTCACGGTGACCTATTCTAATTTCTAACATGAGAATTGCAATAATCACAATAAAATGAAACTGGAGATATACACTAATTGTTCTCTGTACATAAACCAGTAAACAATTCAGGAAGTGAACATATGATGACTTAGGGAACAAACCTTGCAAGGCGAGTATAAAACAATTGTTTCGCCAATAATTGGCACTTTCCAATCGTGGGTGGATCCTGGATGTAGTGTTTATTCTGCTCCAACAACAGTTTATAGTATGAAGCTCCATGTTTTGCCACTACTTGTGATGCTTGGCTCACCTTTGATTGCAACTGAGGAATCTTCGATGCCATGGATTTCCTATACAAAGTATCAAAGATTTTAGAAAAGGTGGAATATTTATTGAAATCTCACAATTATATCCACCTTAAATATCCATATATGAGGAACAAAAAAAACATTCAATACATTCATCAAGCAATTCGAAGGATTTATAATTATTTATACAATTATATTAACAATTAACAAGTGCAAAAACAACAAATTCTGAACCCAGGCTTTAAATTAGATCATAATTCATAGTCAAGCGTAAAAGAAAAAAACTGAACTAAACAAATATGTCTATAATCATCTTTTGCACAGGTGACAGAGTTGGATTTGGTTTCGATTAATTTCCATGGAAATCCCATTAAGTGTTAGAATCTACACAATCACACACATTATCAAAAACAGAAAAGAAAGAGAATAAAAGTTGAGACACAATTTACCTCTCGGTTCAGCCAATGTGTTCAACACTATATTTTATTTGTTCGTTACATTCCAGATTACAACGAGAATATAAATAAGATAAAAAAAACCCTAGGCAACAAGGGTGTTAACAGGTTAGGTTGTGCTTTGGTCTTGAAAGACTAAGCCTATATTATCAGACTTACTTAGCCTATAATATGTTATGAATATAATTATCGACACGTGGCTTGGATTCTTTACAAACAATGTTAAAAAAAATCATAATTATCGACACGTGGCCTGGATTCTTTATCAACAATGTTAAAAAAAATAAGACAACAAAAATATGATGGACCACAAAGATGAAGTGGAAATTAAGTTGAGTTTAATAAATGAGTAGTATAAAAAATAAAAAATAAAAAATAAAAATAAGAGTTAATATATCAGATCAGCCTGATAGACTTTAAGGTCGGGATTTGGAATTAGAGCCCGGAGCTTTTTTATTAAATGAATTTTTATACTAGTCCAAATCTGTATCTAATAACCAAAATAGACGGGTCAGGTCAGGCCAGGCCAAAGGCCCCAACTCTTTTGACATCTCTAACAACATCTATTCATAGGCCCAAACCCTACAACAATACCACTGTACCAAGTCACTGCGATCCCAGGGGCGCTGCCCCCACACGGGCTGCTCCCATGTTGATTTTCTTTGTGTGTTGCTAATAAAAATTATTATCTGAATACGAAGCATGAGCTATGCCCAACGTTAATTACTTCAATTGATATAAACCATTATATATAGACAAGGAGTTGTTTATCCTTCAAAAAGAATAAGAAAGATTAGCCATATTGCACCTACATTGTGCGGTGAAAAGTGTGGGTTGGTGTCGGAGAAATCCTAAGCTGGAAATTCGAAAACAAGAATCACTCATAATTTCGCAATTTTGAGCATTAGACACACAATGGGCCTTTGATGTGTAACGTACAAAGACATAAATCCTCATCTCTAAACACAAAAAAGGGTAAGAACTTTAGATAAAAAAAAATATTTACTAGTGAATATCGGAAGGCATTGACAAGAAGATTCTGAACATTAAAATTGGAACACTGGATTTGGTTTCAGTACCTAAAGGGGCAGCAGGAAGTTGATATGATCAATTTTCAGGAAAACACTGAGTGCACTCTCCACGATTGCCGTTTCTATTTTAACTATTAAAATGGAATATTATCATGTCTCATGTGAATGCCATATCCTAGTACTCTTCCAAACTGCAACTAATCACCATTGCCGATTTAAATGTGCTTATATTTTTAATTTTTCAAGAATATTTTAAGAGAAAATAAATCATCTAATATATTATTTAATATAATCATATCGTATACAAACTATAATCATCTCATGTATTATACAAACTCTCACGTTTTGCCATGAGACAAAATTGGTTCCAATGAGCTCAATAGCAGGACTAAAACATGGCATTTTAAATAGAGAGAGAAAAAAAAAGATTGCACATCATGACATTCAAGTTATTTTTTTCTCAAATCGTTCGCAACATGATCGTTGACCCAACTCTCAGTCAACTATTGACAATGAAATAATAATAAATAATTTGAATAATTTGCGCGAAGTCGTACACTCAGACCTACGCATCATTATTGTAATAAAGTTATATGGTTATGGGGTTTACAATTTACATACCAATAATTCAACTGTTACTTGAATGAAAATGTTAGATTATTTAGCCAAAGTTGCAAACTTGCAATGAAAATTCGTACTCGATCATCAAAGTTTGACTGCGAGAAGATACCATGTTCATGGACCATGTCGATTCAACCCAAAAGTAAAGCTGAGAATTTTCCTCCACTGAAAGAGGAAACACAAATGAATGTTTGTTATATTAATCTTCATCTTTTCTAATCTGCCTGGCTGATTGTTCCGAACAAATCTTAAATTTGCAGCTACCAAACTTGTCACGTCACGCCTGTTATAAAGCATGTACGAAGAAACAATCATTATATTTATCCCTCTACGAGAAAACGCCCTATATATTATTGTCTTGTTACATACACAACGCAAATGCATATGATATTCTTTAGTATTTGGCACGTACGTCAATTTGTTATTTAAACTTGAGATGTGAGAACCAGCAAAACTTTGTGTTTTATCTGAATTGCAACCTAAAATTATTCTTGCACAAAATTACCCGGTACGGCAAAATTAGACTTTGAAACATGTCAAATTAAATTCCAACACAAAAATAATCAATGAAAAAATGATGCATTGCAGGTTTCAACTGCTCCATCCCACAGAGATATCTGGGCAAAAAGAAAAAGAAAAACTACATTTTTGTAATCTTAATCCTAGTGGCAGATATTGAACATCCTTTAGTATCTGTTGTAGGAGAGCTACAATCACATTTTCTTCTTCACTTGCAAGCCAAACATAATTTGAAACATTGACTGCACCTTCTCTTTCAGAAGAAGATACAGAAATAGGGGAAAAGAATATTAGGGGTTGGAAGGAGGAGAATGGGGAAAGAAGAAGAGAGATGCTGTGCCCATCCAGTAACAAAATAAGGTCTTGCCTACCCTGGAATTCGGAAACAGCCACTTCTGAATCTTTTTTTTCCTAAAAGCTTTGAAGGGCACTTGTAGTGGGAGAGTTAATATTAGCCTCCAACTTGGTGGCTGGTAAGCCTTCTCCACAGCAATTTAACCAAGCAAATACATGTCCTCCTTCAGTCATCTTTCTTTACGCATAGTACATGTACAAGCTATTTGCAGCAGCACAAGCAATTGAATTTTCAGATGGGTGCCATGCTAAGTGTAGCAACTTTGTCGTGAAATCAAAAGAATTCCCATTTGCATCAACCCCAGGGGTTTCTGCTCCTGTTCAAGCATGCCAAATATTGGAACTGGTGATATACTATATTATGCAATCTTTCTCAATTCAGACAAGAGCAAAAGAAACAGAAATCTGACCTCGTCTTACAACTCGTGTTATACTATTTCCCAGTGATCTAGAAGGCCTTGAAGGGGTTGGAACTTGCCGTCTGAGGGGATGCAAAAGTTAATATAAATTCTACAATGCCTAACTAAAAAATATGCTTGGTGTCAGAGCTCCCATAAAATTACCTCATTGGATTTTTACTGGCTTCCAAAGTTGTAGCCTCAGCACTTCCAGGGTTACAACCAAACACGCGGAATAAATTGCTGGCGTCAAATGAAACAAAATAGTAAGATGCAGGATACACAATTCCATTGACAATTGAACCACAGATCAAGTTTGTATCACAGACCTGTAAGAACCCGTTGCCACGCGCAATCCATCACCGCTCAGACAACATTCGAACTTATCAAAAATTGAATCATTCTCATATAAATCACAAAGCTGGCATGTTCAAACAAAAGCATAGACAGTCATAACTCAATAAAGAAGCAGGAAGAAATTCATGGTTCATCATCACTTATATAAACAAAAGAATCTAACCTTCGGTCTCAAATACTCGTGAACCTGGAAAGTTGCAACTGGGCCTGAATCCATATTAATGTCCCATAACTGACAAACAAAGTCAAGATGGATGAAATGAGATGAAGCTTCAAGGATTTATAACATAACAAGGCAGAAGTCATCAGGTCAGAAATTAAAGATATCAGTACGTTTTGCCTACACAACAATTGAATTTCAAAGGAACAAAGAGACCTACATCAATAATAGTAATTTAAATAAAAAGACCTTGGCTCATAAAATTCAATCAAGTAAAGATATATCCCCATCCAAAATAAGCAAAAATGCATAAACTTTGGGTCTTTCACAAATACGCTACTCCACTTTCTATTTTGGCAATTTACCGTCTTGAATTTTGGAAAATGTTTTGACAGCCACTTTTATGTATTTTTTGTTAGTCAATTCATATTTAAACAACTTTTATAAATTTTCAACTACCAATTTTTGTATTGCTTGATTATTGAAAAATATTAGTAGTTAGAAAGTAAATTTCCAATATATTCATCTTTTTGAGCACAAATTAACTATTGAGATGTTTTAAAGATTGCAAAAAGTAAAAGTTGAGGGTCCATTTGCAAAAGCCCAAAATATTGTGAACACTTTAACAGAAGCATGGATTTTGAAATTATATAACTTCAAACCTTTAAAGTCATGTAATCACGACTAAGTATGTATCTTCCATCCTTCCCAAATTTTATGTCTGAAATAGAAGCAATAATCTCTGTGAAAAACGATCTGGACCCAGGGGCCTCCTGTTCCTCAAATCTGCGCCAAAGGGTATCTGCCATTAGAGTCTACAAGGTAGAGGAAAGTACATAAATACATACATATAATAGGCTCGAGAAAAATCCTTTTCTCTATAAGCAACACGTTGATTGTCCACACCAAGAATGAAATAAACCAACTTCTTTCCAGTAATTTTTCCCTACAGTCTCATCGTTGGTTAAAAACTGTAAGCCATAAGGTGGGAGGAGTGGGATACTTATTCGTTAGGAACCACGAAGATTACCACAGAAGAACATAAACAAAAGATGTGCTTACAGTTTGGCATGAGAATCACATAATGCTGATTGCCGCAAGTCAACAAGACGGATTGAACCCTTCGAACTGCTGTATGCCAGCGTATTACAATGTGTAGGGTGGAATTCTGCTGATGTTATAACCTCTACAATAATAATTTTTAAGGTCAAGCCTCAAACAAGACTATAAAAAATAAAACAAGTTGGCAAAGAAGTCAAAGCTTATAATTTTTGCTTCACTTTTCCCTAAAACACAAGATACCCCAAATACTAGTCCCCCAAGCAATGTTCACAGCACTCAAACAACCACCAATCCAACCTTAAAACCCCATCCCATTGCTTGTGAAACATCCCCCCCCCCCCCCCAAAACAACAACACAACCAAAACACTAATATCATAATACCCAACCAACCCTCAACACACCTGTTTTCTACCCTTGATTCACCCTAGAAAACATAGATTCTGTTCTGATATGCTAAATTCTAATCCTTCTACCGTCCAACATCAAACAGATTGAGACTAGCAAGATTTGAACATGCTTGAGGGCCAGGTTTGACTTGGCCTGATATTTTGACTGGGTCAATTTTTTGAGCCTGGTCCCAACCCTAGACTCCAGTAGAACTGATCAAGCTTGAGTACAGGTTGAGTTGGGCTGCAGCCAGACTTTAGACAAGACATAATCTGAACTGCGAATATCTACAGAGAAAAAACTAGATTGGAGTTGGACTACTTGCGCAAAATCACATCTTATGAAAGTTACACATTGAACAATGAACCACATTACCAAAGGAGCATTACAAACATAGTTCAGCACCACACAATATTTATCTATCTTGTTGGATGTCAAGGGCTAAATAGTTAAAAGACAATATGTGATTCTTTCAAACCCCATAAAGTGACAAATTTCTTCTGATACTGAAAAATTAAGTATGGCTAATGTAAAAAAAATTATAGAAGAATCTAACATCAGGCCGGGTTGGTTCTACTCGAAGGGTCACCCAATCCCTGCCTGACATTTTCTTCGGGCAATAAATTCGATCACAGACCCAACCCAATTTTTGAGATGAACCCAGGTCCAAACAACCTGAATGGCTTAGGGCTGGTTGGGTCACGAGGCTGGGTTAGGCTAATGGATGGGGCAGGCAATTAGCACCAACTTGTTAGTCAACAACAACTTATATGTCGTAATCACTTCTTTAACTATATAAATTAATTATTTAGTTTTAGTCTAGAAATGTTTACACTACAGCATAAATTTTTTTTACCAAGCTTACCTGTCAGATCCTCCATATTTGCAGGCTTTACATCAACGATATTAAAACTTTGATTGCTAATTTCCAAGTTCCAAAGATTTATTCGCAAATCATCAGCTGATATGAAAGTTTCGCCATCACTAGAAGATACGAGCAGCATAACACCATCCAAATTTGATCAGTATTTAGAAAACCATGAAAAAAGGAAAAAAAAAAAGTGCAAAAATCATGTGACATCAAGCAATACTCCAGAAAGAAAACAACTAATCAGCCTTTTTAAAACAACACCACATTAAGAGAAATAAAAATAATGAAAGCAAGATTGGCACTGAATAGACTATAATTCGAATATGAACCTTCAGGGTTCTCAACTTCACCCAATATTTACTAGACTACAGCAAAATAAGTATTTACTAAGAAAATTGAAGTCACCTGTTATTTGAAATAGAATTGATATGATAATCATGAGCATGGGCATATACTCTACGACATCGAGCCACCAAGCTGGTCTCATGGCTACTTACCTACATAATTTACAATACAGGAGTTAGTACAGCAAAATCTCAAAAAACCACTTTCCTTTCTTTCTTCTAAAGTATCAGAATCAAAGGACATTTAAAATAAAAACCACAACGAATGGAATTATTGAAACAAGAAATTAAACTCTAATATTTCTCTTTTTACTTCTTCTACTTCTGGCTGTTTCTTTATGAAGGGGTCTATGCAGAACGGCTCAAATTGCTACTTATATGATGAATATGCTGAAATACTCCTGTAAAATTAGCTTAAGCACAGACTGGCCGTTATTAGGTTTTAATAGTTATGGGTCTGCATGATGCTTTTCTCCTTAACATCCATAATAAGGTTATATTTATTTAAATAGAAAAACTTAAAGTTGTAAGACCCTAAAATAAATTAAGCAATGTTAACTAGCATCATGAAATCAACCACCATTGAAATATGTTTGTTGTGCCCAGCCTTGTGAGTTAAACCAATACCTGCCAGGCTGTTTTAACTTTAAAGTAAGAAACAACATAGCTGTATTCAATTTTGAAGAAGAAAAAGTAAGCATTGCAGAGCTTTAACACCTTCATTTTTATCAAATAATTTCATGGTTGTTTATACTTTATACTTTATAGTAGAAGTCATACCATTCTAATTTTATCCCAGCTGAACAAAAATCGGAATAAGAATTGCAAGTGGAAGGGCTGAATACAACTACCGTGGGTAATCTTAGTGATGGTATGCCTCCTGGTGGAAATGAGAGGTCGTTGCTTAGAAAATTGTGTGATCTATCTGGAGATCCTCCATTGGCAAGATATGGCCTAGAACTATTTGAATTACTTGAACTAGCAATACAGCCATTTCCCATTGTTTTTGAAGGGTCAACATTCATCTCAGAAATTTTCTTGACCTTCTTTTCTTGAACCTGTTTAACTCTCATAAGGAAAAATATGAATGAGTGACCGAAGAGACTGATCAAACCTATTATCCACATGACAAAAAAAATACAAAACCGAATGCAACCACATTCTTCTTGTATACATGCAAACATCCAATATTGTTAACAATTATTCAAAGTAATTTTCCCTTGGGATTTATTTCACAGTATGGCCTTCTTCATGTCTACTTCTCATAATATTTGATCATCTCAATGAATTTAATGAAATAGCTATTAAGATGTCAAATAACATAATAAAAGTTTAGAAGTTAAAAATAAACATCAAAGTTTCGTCAGCTAAGGTTCTAGAAAGATGGAAGCATTGAGAAAGGAAGTCATGATAATATGCACTTGAAAATGAACAGCCTATACATGCATGCACCATCAAATGCCGCCCTCTACATGCAAAGTTATCCAGTTAACCGAACAATATTTCAATTAATAAACAATGATTCAAAATATAATTAGTAATTTCTGAAGGCTAAGCCATGACAATAGAATCCAATTAGAATGCATATATATGGGCCTCATAAGCAATCATACATCTCTGTAAACAGATACACAGTCAAAGCATTTCAAACTTAATTCCACAGAGAGAATGCTACAATTGAACATTCATTTCATACCTTCCAAAATTTGATGGTTTTATCATTTGTTGAAAGAAGGAAGAGGGCACCATTAGCTGTTTGGCACCATCTGATTTTGTTGATTTTCTCTTCTATCTCCAAGCTCTTAAGATAGTCAAACTGAAACAATGATCGCATATTATACGTATTGACACTTCTGAGAATAGGATGTTTGTCCAACATTAACGAGCAAATGATAACTACCTCAGGCTCGTGACTCTGAAACTCTGTTTTGTAACGGAACTCAGGATGCCTGCTAATAGAATAGTCCATCCTCTCCGAATCCCTTCTTGATCCGCCATGCTGCATGTTTCAGCATACATACATATTACAATATCAAGTACATAACATGGAATCTGTCAAAACAAAGTTCTTTTTTTTTGAAAAAAATAAAGCCGAAAAAAAGAGACTTACATCTTTAGTATCTGTCCTCTCAAAGAGAACTACTCGACCACCACGATCACCAGTAGCAAGATGATCGCCAGACTTGTCAAATTCAATAGCAGAAATTATGTCCACTGTAGAAAGACAATTGGGTAAAAAAATTAGGAAACTTTCACGTTATCCTGCAAAAAAAGCTAATTTAGACTTGTCAATCACTCTGTTGCAACTATCAGACGCTCACTCAGTCAAACTCACTCTCGCCTCTCCTTGAAAGCACATGATCCCATATTATAAATGTGAATAGCTTCGTATAACACCATATATCTGAGTATCACTCAACTTAATGATATTTATACTTTCTTTTCCCTTTTGTTTTGGCAGAAAATGAGGTTTCCTGTCTGACACAGACAGAACTGCTACACACCCATTCTTAAACTATCATCTAAGCATTCCCATTCAAGAGACACCACCACCATCATTACTGGCACTTAAACCTAGCAATCTCTGCCAAAACCAAATGTTTTTGCATTGTCAAAGGCACAAATTACGACCACACCCCTGCGGTCAATCTTCAACGCTACTCATCAAACTACATAACATCAAGATCTAACCCATCCTACTCAAACAAATTCACACATTGATTGACAAACTAAATAAAACAATTCACGACAATAGAAGTGGCTGCGACACAAGCACGAGCTAGAAACACGACACCAAAACCAAAAAACACCCGTCAAGTCTTAACAACTTAGTTTCACAGTCTCACAATCCAATCCAGTAAATTCACAATGCAAAGACACGGCCTTCAACAAAACATCTACATGTCAATGGATCCCATTCAACTACTTTTCCCCCAAATCAAACAAGACCCACGATTAAAGCAATGACCCAAAAGCCAAAAATAGCATTACTCGAATACCCATAAGCGAAAACAACAAGGGAGTGACGAAACACGATCCGAAAAGGATCGAATCAAACCCTAATCCCGACACATCAATTGGATCCGACAAAGTCACAAAAAACATGCCCTTTTTCCCACCCACCAATACTACGTACGACAATTACCTTCCTGAACCTCTTCTCCTGCCGCACGTTCGCCGAAAACCTGCGAGAATTTCCACTCCAGAGGTTGCGGGGGACCCGCCGGAGCTGCGATGACTTCATCGCCACCGTTCATTTGTGACAAAATCAGCGGCCACCGAAGAAGCGAGTGAATCGACCAATCCTATCAGTGCATCCAAAATCGCTTTCTGGGTTTTCACAAGATCATAGGTTCAGAAAGACCCATCCAAAAAAGAAATAAAATTTCTTTTCTCTTCTCACACCTTGCTGTGGGTTCCCAGTTGAACCATTGAAACACCCAAAAAAAAAAAAATGAAGGACAAATTTTTTTCTCTCTCCTACAATCTTCTATTCTTCTCTATCTAGTATTTTCTCTCTCTAGAAGGAGAAAAATGGAATTTTACGAGTTAAAATGACCGAAAGCATTGGAGATGGAAAAAAAAAAAAAAAAAAAAAGCAAAACACAAGCACTTGTGTTTAGTTCTCTCTCAACATTAGGATTCTGTTTGTCTTTTACGTACGTAAAAATATATAATTTTCCTCGTCTGTGATACCCTCATATGTTGTTACACAAACGAGGTGAAGTACGAAGTTTGTTGAACAGTGATAGTTGTGGGAGTGTATGGACGGACTGTGTGGTACAGCCAGGTAAGAGTAATTATTTATGTCTTTGAAATTGATTAATTAATTAAGATATGTATGTAATGACCAGAAGTTGTTGAATAAAAAAGGTCATTGAATGAAATGACTTGCATTTTCATTTCTCATATATTCTTGTCATTTCAATATTTGTTATATCATCTCGTCTGGATAAAATATGTTAGGTACACCAAAAGCCCAAAAAGCTCAAATATAGAGAACGAGATCCAGATCCAAATCCACAAGGCCCAGAATGAGGTGCGATGACTTCAATTGCGCATAACTAGGGGTGTTAATGAGCCGAGTCGAGCTTTGGTCTAAACGGGTCGAGCCTGTGTTCAAATGTGTCAAACTGGCCTTAACCTGTTACCTGTTATGAATATAATATCAACCTGTGGTCTGGCTCATTTACAAAAAATAAAAGCCTTGTTTAGCCTGTTTAAAAAAAATAAGACAACAAAAATTTATCCAAACAAAATATACAATCAACAGCACTAGTAATTCCATTAATATTCATAAATTTAATGTATATCCAAATAGCATAATATAAAACAAAATCATTTAAAAAGTCTGTTTAATTAATAAAATGGGATGAAATGAATTGAGAAGAGAGAGAGGGCTATCACAAGTAGTATAAAAAATAAAAAAATAAATAATATATTAGGCAAGCCTGATAGGCTCTAAGGCCGAGCTTTTGAATTGGAGCATGAGGCCTTTTTATTAAATGAGCTTTTATACAAGTCCAAGCATGGGTCCAACAATCAATTTTAGACATTTAAGCTCAGGCCTTCACGAGCCGAGCCAAAGGCCCCTGTAAGACCCCTGGCTCGTTTAGCACCCCTACGTATACTAAGTGCAATGTCACCATCGCGCACAAAATCGACCTTTAACATAACTTCAGGGACAAGGAAGCGATCACAGGAACTAATAAAGGCCCACCGCGCCATTAAACAACTAAACAGAGGACAACACCATCTTGTCATCACTCTACCAAGATAGCCTGACGTAAAGAGATAAGGCTATGGAAGCACCAGCTGAACCTGCATCCCTTGAACAACCAATCAAAGGCCTTACCATCTTCCTAAGGCGGCATCAGAACTACTATATAAACAGAGGATACAAGTCCAGGTATTATCATCTAATTCAGTAAGAATACATATAACACCTGACATTGATACTGACTAGAGCATCGAAGTGTCATTGCAGGTACCCCCAGTCAAGATCATCACACTGAAAGAGAACCAAAGTCCTCCCATCATCATCAACAACCCCCAACCCAGAAAACAGACAGCCCAACTCAAAGACTTCTAGCTTCAACCATGTGTGATTTGGTCCGATATACTATTTAAAAATATAGTTGATACCAGAAGCAAATCCCAGAACGGTTCCAAAGGAAAGCAGAAAGAGACACCTGTTACCCGCGAAAAATCAACTTCGTCGGCTACACCAATCTTCGTGCACCATGATAATCCACCCACAACCCAACACCTAGTGAAGCTTATCACGCAGCAAAGCAAAAAAATCGCCCAGCAGAATCGAGATTTAGCTCGATTGAAAAAATCACAAAAGAGTAGAGAGAGAAACCAGGAAAAAGGCAAAGAAAAACAAAAAGAACCTGAGAGAGAAGTTGAAAAAGAGTTTGAAAATTCTGGCAAGAGTGAGCCAGGACATGAATATTCGAAACAAAATCCTGGACCATCTGGTCAGAAAAAGAAAGGAGAAGAAGAAAAAGAAATCCATGAAAATTCTCAAGGGAATTCTAGGACAGTCTCACGAGTCTTCCATCCCTTCACTCCATGTATCATAAGCGCCCCCATTCCCGGTGACGTAAAAATTACCACCGAAAAGTATAACAGAAAGGGAGACTCGCAAGAACATCTAGAACAATTCCAGACGAATATGATGGCATAAGATGTCGCTGATCCAATAGCTTGCAGGCTATTCCCAACAACCCTGAAGGAAGTGGCACTCATGTGGTACTCCGCTTTACCAACTAATTCAGTTCAAAGTTGGGAGGATCTAACCAGTCAGTTCCTTGTACGATTCGCAACTAGCAAAGCGCAGTATAAATCCACACATGCCTTGAAAATTGTACGACAAGGAGCACATGAAACTCTGTGCGATTACCTTAATAGGCTTTTTGATGAAGCGCTTCTAGTAAGAGATTTAGATCCACAAGTTTCCCTACATCTTATCATAGAAGGATTGCTTGAAGGTCCTTTTTATATGTCATTGGCCAAACAACTCCCACGTACCATAGAGGAATTAAGAGCGCGGTCTGAAAAATTCATTAATCTTGAAGATTATAAACGATCGCGGGATACGTCTGGCACCAAATTATAATCATACCATTTTGAAAAAGATGTCCAAAAGAATTTTCAAAGACGATTCCGCGAGAAAAATAGAGGAAAAAGTTTGATAATTACACTCCTTTGAACACATCCAGAAGACGAATCCTGAAGGAAGTCTTCCAAACTGGTTATGTTCGCGTTGTTAAACCTCCACCATTGAAAAAAGGAGGACAACATGACGAAACCAAATTTTGTGAGTTTCATAATGATACCGGACATACCACTGACGAGTGTTTTGATTTGAAAAACACCATCGAAATACTTATCAGAGCAGGCAAACTCCAAGAATTTATTTCCGCCTGCAGACAGTTTAAAGCACAAAGAAGGCGCGATCGAAGTTCTGATCACGATCAAAATCCTGACCTGCAAAGGGCATATCCCAGGAGGGATTATAACCCTGCCAGGAATAACAATAATAGGAACGCGCGCGATGACCCCACTTTTTATAGACGTCAAGGAATTCCTATGCGGGATAGATAACAGGCAGCACAACAACATCAACTGCCCAATAATACTGCCGGAGTATTAGCCACCATTGCTGGTGGAACAACTGGAGGAGGGGATACTAGCTCACAACGTAAAATACATTTAAAATCAGTCATAACAGTTCGCGATCACGCGTAGCCATCTACATTATGCGTCAAGCGTTAATCCATCAGCTTTGACGATGATGATTATGGCGACATCATCCCAGACCATGATGACCCACTGGTGATTTCCACTTGCATGGCCAATCCCAGAAGAACATTTAATTCTAGGTTGCACAGATTTGATTGGTTTTTCCAGTGAATGTGTACAACCTAAAGGTACCATTGAAATGTGGGTCACCTTTGGGGTCATGCCTCTAGCTCATACTCTTAAAGTACGCTTTTATATTATCGATTATGCATCTGCATATAACGTCATCCTGAGACGTCCTACCATAGCCGCTTTAAAGGAAATCATTTCTATACCTCATCTTCTGATGAAATTTCGAGACTCCACTGGCGCTGTTGTTGCTATTAGAGGAGATCATAAAGCGGCGCGAAGCTGTTATAATACCAGCTTACGAGTAAAGTCAGCAACTCATCCCGTTGAGAAGGGAAAGGCATCCATCAATATGACTGACTTAGACATGCACGAAGATTTGCGCGATACGCGACCCCAGCCCGATGGTGAGCTAGAAGACCTTCAACTTGGTCCGTTACCTAAAAACATCACCAAAATCAAACGTCACTTACCAGAAAATGAGAAAAAGGAATTGGTGGCGGTATTATTAAAAAATAAATACCTTTTTGCTTGGACAACAGCTGATATTCCAGGAGTAGATCCTGACGTAGTATGCCATCATCTTACACTTGATCCTAAAGCCAAATCAATCGCGCAAAAGAAGCGAAAAATTTCTCCTGAAAACAACAGGTAGTTGATATTGAAGTGACAAAGCTTCTCGATGCAAGGATCATTAGAGAGATCACGTATTCCACTTGGCTATCTAATGTGGTATTGGTCAAGAAAGCCAATGGGAAGTGGCGCATGTGTACTGTAACACCCCGGAAAAAATTAGGAAACTACATAACTTGCAATTAGGGGTGTGTAGCATGCTTGAAATCCGAATTAAAATTATGTTTAGAGTGGAATTAATTTAAGTAGGAAAATTATTTTGTTGCTAACATAAGCGAGTATATGTGTATATTTTAAAAGATTCAAGACATTAGTTAAAAAGGGATAATACTACATTTAAATACAATATGGGTAGGAATCTTAATTATTAACTTGTGGGAACATGAAATAATAATTATTAGGAAATATATTTAAAGTAACACATACAATGAAATCCTAGATAATATTGGGTGAACTACATGAAACAACATGGCTTAGATGAATTATAGGGTTCAATCCCCTTATGGGCCACGACCCAAACCTTTTAAAATAAGGGTTTAAGTTAGCCCTATATTTCTCACCTATGATCCTTGATTGTTTTTAAAACAAAATATGAACCTCACTTAAGATTGGCCAAAGGGAGACACATGTCCAACCTTATCTCTCACCAAAGTTACATGCATGTAATTTTAATGGTTAATGGCAAACCTCATCACTTTGTCTCTCTTTATCTCTTCTTGTGCGCCAATAGGGAGATAGCAAATTTGTTTTGGTATCAATTTAATTGCAAACACTATTCTGCCTTCACTTATCTTATCCTCTTCCCATACGCTACTTGAGGAATCCTCAAAGCTGAACACTGATCAGTTTCTTGACCACACTCAGCCACACGTTATTTTCCTTCTCCCCACACTCATGACAAGAATCGCTCCAAGAAAGCTGATTGTCCCTATTTGATTCAGAATCATTTTAGTTCCCATCATACCCTGCCTCACTACCACAAGCCAAAAG